CCCTTCGTCTGTCTGCTTCAATGTCAGAGCCTTATCGTAACAGTGTTTGAATTGTTCGATTAACTGCTCCGCTCTCTGCCTATCCCCTTTTCTTCACGTATTGTACGCCGCAAAAACACTCACGTCGTCAACAAACCTCAGTCTAGCAAAACAACGCTTCTGGCTACCAAGTGAAATAAGAAAGTCCCATTCACTTTTAGCGGACATCAGACAAGCCAGTAGGGGACTAGAGCACTTCCCCATTGGTATGCCAATCACCTGTTGAATCAAGATGCAACATGCCTTGGTAAAGCAAAATTCCAATTCGAAATTCACAAACGTAATCAGATACGTAAACGAAACGAAAGAAAAACCCTCGACATGCTGACAGCGACTTAAACGCGCTCCTCTTCCTCTCTTTTTTACGAAAACACCATCATAACCTTTCTATGAAAACCACCACACTACCCACTCAACTGCCAGTTTGATGGTAGCGTGCGGCAAACGGCAGAACATGTCCTTAATATCAAAAGACTTCCCAATGATTCTGGCATTCTGCCTACTTTTTCCAAGCCGATTGTTGATGCTGCAGAGCCTTCCCCTTATGGAAGAAACTGATCTCAGGTTAAAATGTCCCGATTCTGGGAGGGAAAAAAACAGACAGTTGATCCCTTTTGCTACTAATTTGCAGGCTTTCACTAATGGTTCCTTAAAAGTGGGACAGGTAGGACGAAATCGTTCAGTGTCTTTGTGTTTTGGAAGTGCATATGCACTCCCGATCTTGCCCTCTTTATCCCATTTTCCTTGTACGGAAAGTCTCCTCTGCTCATATTCCGCTCCAGCTAATGCAAAAGTGGTTATCACATATATGAATATTTACAGATGAACATTCTGGAAGTGGAAAAAAATTAAGTGGTTTTTCGGGTTTGAATTCATGTTTGTACGTGATCAATCACAGCTTGCAATTGTGAAAGTTTGGGGTGCAAGATGTTGTTCATGGTGATTTTTTTTTTTTTTTTTTTTTTTTTTTTCGTGAACCATCCTGAAGGGGTTAATGCCCTAAAGGTCTAAAGCACCACCCCCAGTGCTGAGGATCCTGAACGATCCTGAAGAGGTGAATGTCGTTCAGGGCATTCACCACTTTAGGATTGTTCATATTCTTCATGATGTTTTTTTTTCGTTTTTTTCTTTTTCGTGCACCATCCTGAAGGGGTGAATACCCTGAAGGCCTGAAAGCACCCCTCCCCCCATCGTATGGCTCCCACTGTTAAGCGTTGAGGATCCTGAACGATCCTGAAGAGGTAAATGCCTTCGGTGGTCTGAAAACAGGGAGTCGAATGGAGGTGCGAGGGCTTTCAAGGCCTTCACCCTTCATGATAGTGAGAGTCAAAAAGTGGGTTGCTTTCAGACCGTTCAGGGCATTCACCTCTTCAGGATTGTCCATAGTCTTCATTATGTTTTTTTTTTTTTTTTAAATCCGTGAACTATCCTGGAGGGGTGAATGCCCTGAAGGCCTGTAAGCACCCCCCCCACCCTACGGCTCCCACTGTTAAGCGTTGAGGATCCTGAACGATCCTGAAGAGGTGAATGTCTTCGGTGGTCTGAAAGCAGGGAGTTGAATGGAGGTGCGAGGGTTTTTAAGGCCTTCGCCCCTTCATGATAGTGAGAGCTAAAGGGGGGGGTGCCTTCAGGCCGTTCAGGGAATTCACCCCTTCAGGATTGTTCATAGTCTTCATGATGTTTTTTTTTTTTTCCCTTTTTTTTTTTTTTAATTCTGTGAACCATCCTGACGCGGTGAATGCCTTGAAGGCCTGAAAGCACCCCCTCCCAACCCTATGGCTCCCACTGTTAAGCGCTGAGGATCCTGAACGATCTTGAAGAGGTGAATGCCTTCGGTGGTCTGAAAGCAGGGAGTCGAATAGAGGTGCGAGGGTGTTCAAGACCTTCACCCCTTCATGATAGCGAGAGCCAAAGTGAGGGTTACTTTCAGGCCGTTCAGGGCATTCACCCCTTTAGGATTGTTCACAGTCTTCATGATGTTTTTTTTTTTTTTTTTTTTTTTTTTTGTAATTCTGTGAACCGTCCTGAAGGGTTGAATGCCCTGAAGCCCTGAAAGCACCCCCCCCAACCCTATGGCTCCCACTGTTAAGCGGTGAGGATCCTGAACAATTCTGAAGAGGTGAATGTCTTCGGTGGTCTAAAAGCAGGGAGTCGAATATAGGTGCGAGGGTTTTCAAGGCCTTCACCGCTTCATGATAGTGAGAGCAAAAGGGGGGGTTGCTTTCAGGCCGTTCAGGGCATTCACCCCTT